GATCTTGGTGTAATTTGTGCATAAAAATTGTTTAAAAATATATTAGCAAGTGTGTTGCAATGTTTTTGATTAATTTCAAAACAGCAAAAATTTAGAAACTAGCAAAAAAATGTCATTTAAGGACTTACAACAAACTTTATCTTTTATCGAATGGAATAAGACAAAGCAAAAAAAAACCCATTGCCAAATATTGTCTGGTAGAATTTTAAGACCACCACAACCTTTAACTTTAGGGTAGTCACCAATCTTTTCATAATAAAGTAATGTTTGATTAAATTTTTTTTTTTACATTCATTTCTACATACATAACCAGCAATAGAGATCAAAGACATTTTGGTAGTATCAGAAATTGATGACTCTAGTTTTTTTAAATTGTCAAGTATTTCACTATCTGTTTCACATAAAACATATGTACAAGAAGCACACTCATAGCCTTAACTAAAATCAAAAGAATCCTTGCCGATATTTAAATATAACAACAGTGATGTGTGATTTATATGCAATTTTTCTATAATTTGTTGAACATTTATAAAGTAGGCACCACAAGAACCTTATCTTATTTTCCCAAATTCTCTGTATAACTCTATTTCAGAAGATCTAAAGGTTCTTCTCCTAATGGTTAGAAAGTGGTCAGTAGCTTCGAAGCATCCTTTTCTATTTTGTAAAACAGAATTGCCAAATATGCTAAGAGCTGAGCCATATTCTCTAATTTTTCTGTATGAGCGGTATAACAAATGGAAGGCTGCTGGAAGAAATATTGCAAAAGTTAAAAATTTTAGTAATGTAGTTAATCCTTCTTTATTGACTGGAAACATAACAAAGAAGATCTTGAAAATTGTTAACATACCAAGCTTACTTATTTAGCTAGGCATAATAGACAAGTTACTCAAAATAATTTAAAAAAACTTGTTTGAAGACACTAATTAATTCAAATTAAAATCAAGGATTTAACTTTGTAACTAGTTATTTATCTACAAATAATCTTGCCAGAATAGCTTATCAAGATAAACACAGGTTAAACGGAAACGAACCCAACGTGTTTTTAAAAAAACTTGATTGCTTTCAAATTAATCTGGATGAGCACAATACTATTGGTGGCAAATATATGAAAGCTTTAAGAGACTTTAGCAATGTTGTTCATGGGTGTTTTGGGAAAATATTAAATCCAAACTAATCTGATTATATTAAATAATTTTCACAAAGTGCCAGATATCTTGGTTCAAACATTCCTCTAAAAATTCATATAGTGTAGCATCATGTTGAAGAGTTTATTGTTATGAAAGGAGGAAAGTTTGTTAAGTGCATATTTAAAAAATTAACTGGTAACTTTTTAAATTTTAAATATAAAAATAGTATTAAATATATTGAATTAAAGTTTAGGGTATAGGACTGAGCAAGCATTGGAATCCATCCATAAAGATTTCAAACAATTTTGAGAAAAACGAAAGGTAGGAAAACACACGCCAATTTTAATGGAATCTTGCAAAGAGCTGTCTGTATGTACAACAAAAGGCATTTATAGTTATGTGTAGTGTTTTTCGTTAGAAAATATTTCTTTTTTTTTTTATGAAAGAAACTATTTAGAATTTTTTCATTACAAATCCAAAGATGATTCTATATGGGCATTGTATTCCTGTAGACCTACGTTATCCTCTCCAATAAAAACAAAGTTAACTTTTAAAAAGTGAAAAATATTTTATTTATAAAAAAGTTTTTATAAAATAAAATATTTTTGCAAATCGTTTTAATTTTTTTTCTGTTTATTTACTTTTTTTCTAACTTGGCTTTTTTTTTGGCATATTTTGAAAGTAATGTTTTTGTTTTAAAAGTACGTCACGCTAAATTTATCTTTTAAATAACATTCTATTGCATGATCTTTTTGCCCAGAGATTTTTATTCAACGTAAAGCACTTTTGAATTCAAATTACTTTTAATCTGTCATACTGAAATACGTCATACTGAAATAATCCACCATATTTAAATATGTCACACATTTCATATGCTCACCTTCTCCATTTTTTTCAATCACTCGGAGTGTTTAAATTATACGTCGCTATCTACAGACTTTAGCGATTCCTTTGAGGCACGTTTAATATTCATAAAAGTTTTAGTATTTGACGTCACGGTAGACTTTTAACAAATGAAACTCTGGAAATATTTTTATTTATTTTTATTCAAACTTTTTTTCAGTATTTGTTTAATTTTTTTTCTTCTATTTTTAACATTTAAAAAGATATTAAAAACCTCAAATATTTTATGCTGGTTCGTTGCTATAAATTGTTATTGCGCCATATA